TCAATTGTTTTCCTTCCCTGAAATTCCTTTTACTGTCATGCTATATATGTACATCTAGCTTTTCTCTGTTCTATTATTTTCGTTATCTAGGAAAGGGTGATTGCTGATGAGTTTACATCTTTGTATCTTGTTAAGAGTTAATGTATATAGTATTGATTATAGCTTTTGAATAGTATTCAAGGATGAGCGCAAACGGAAGAAGAAAATCTCAATTAAGGAAGAGAGAAAATCCACTGATTCTGATCTTAAATGCTACTTCGTTGAATTTTCTGGTAAAAAGATCAGTGAATTAAGACGCCTTTTCATGCACATACACACAGTTTCATCAACAGAAAAGTGCATGGCCAGGTTGATATCACTACCGAATTTTTATTTTGTCACAATTTATCTATGAATGATCCTTTGTTGAATATTGATGTTTACTATTGTGGTATGGCCCATATTTTCTTTGATCCTGTCGAAGACCATAAAGCTTAAAGTTGATCTTGATTCTGTGGAAATTGAGAGAATTGAAGATATACCTTTCCTAGTAGAACATATTTCTTTTGCTGGCTCCCCCTTCTGCTACTAGACTTTACATGATTGTGGCACTAACTATGTTATATTTATATCTTCTTGCTTCAGGATGAGAATGGCTTTGTTATCTTTGATGAAGATAAGAAGCCTCTTTTACATACTGATGGAACAGGCTACATCTCCGAAAATCTAGCCATGCAGTGTCCGAAAGATCTTTGCAGAGCTAAATATATGAAGGATGATGATTTTCTGGTTAATCTTTTTACTCTTTCTAGTATGAATGTTTAATTGTAATTGTGCATGGCATACAAAGGAAAATATCACAATGGCATCTGAATTATTAAAACTAATTTATTTTTTATGAAATGTCATATAATATATATAGATTTTTACTTTTTTTTATTGATCTATCAATTATTGCAAAAATCGTTGCCTAGAAGAAAGAAAAGGACACTTTTGTATGGAAAATGCTCATAGGCGTGTAATGTAACCTCAAAGCAACTTCTATTCGTCTTTTTTTACTGCTTTCTCTTTGAGTTGCAATTTTTCTTTCATGTCAGATGCCTTGAGTTTTTTCCTCTGTTAACATTTGATTTATTGAACTCTATTCTTATGCACAAAAAATTACGATATACTTCTCCAGTCTTACTTTTGTTTTGAATGTTATTGTGGAGAGCTAGTTCATAACTTCTGTTATTTTTCTTGGTAGTATATTTTGGTTAATCTATAAAATTTGAAATGCCACTACATCCTCATCCCTCTGACTTTTACTCCTTCAGCCAATCTGTAGATATTTTTACATGTGTGATTCATAACATTTGTTCACTATTCAACTCTAGAGGCTTCCTTGTGGGGATGCTTTCGCGGGTGAGACCTTGTGATACACATTCATTCAGATTTAGTAAGTTGGTCATTTTTTAGGAACTCATGGAATTAGTCGAGGTGCGCGCAAGCTGGCCCGGACATCCACGGTTATAAAAAAAAAATTCATTTCAAGTTTCTGAAGTCAATGATATGTAGAAAGAATTATGTGAAAGAAAACTTAGCTCATGAAGATTCAGTCCACTTTAATTCATATCAAGTTTCTAGAAGTTGAGGAATAATTATTTGAAAGGAAACTTCAACTTTGTAGGAAGCACCTGTCGGAGATTTTTCTAACCCCTTCATATCTTACTTTGACCCGAACTAGATGTCTTTGTTTTATTTGCAAGATGTTTAAATTGATGTCCATTTTTCTAAATCAAAGACTTTCATTAGTTTCGTAAACCCTCTTGAAAAAAAAAAGTAAAAATTTTTAAGGTTTCCCATATACCAGTTAAAAACGCTAGAAATACCATTTAAATACATATGTGAATACTTGTGATAAGTCAAACCAAGACATTAGCTATGTTGGTGCACAGCCATCATTTTTCTCCATTTGTCTCTTGAAAAATGATTAATGAAATTGGAAGGCTTTTCTCTTGTTAAACAAAAATGTAAAACGAGCATGGACCCTAACCTTTGACTTTCGTAGTAATCTTGTTCCCAACCTTTATTTTTTAAGTATACCCAAACATAAATGATCTGGAGAAGAAAAATGATTGATAACTTTAGTATAAAAATCTTAAGTTCAAAGCATATACAAGAATTTTGTGTCAGTGTAACCAATGTGTATGTTCAATGACTAAAGCTTACTTATCGACAAGAATAGTGTGTACTATTTCTAATCCCAACTTTGTCCAGTAATGTGGTGGCTGATTGTTAAAATTGTGTAAGTTTTACTGGTGCATCTTACAATTTTATTTAATAAGCTATTGTATGTTTTATTTCGCCTATGTTTGGCTCATGTTTATATGAACACTCTTAAGTTATTTATTATCCTCTCATTTTAAGGGATCCACAAGTACTATTGACTGTGTACCTCTCATTTCTATCTATCTATAATTTAAACAATTTATGAACACTTCCCAAACATGCTCTTTCATATAATACTATTTTGTATTTTTTTAGAAGATTCGTGATTTTGAGGATGTATCANGCCATGCAGTGTTCGAAAGGTCCCTGTGGAGCTAAATATATGAAGGGTGATGATTTTCTGAAAATTCATGATTTTGAGGATGTATCATGTCAACAAAATGGAACGAAAGTTGAGAACAGGGAACCGGTAACGTATTTTCTATTTAATTCTTCCATTTTTCATTCTCTGTGTAAGAAACTGTTTATCCATCAATTTTATGTATTATTCTTGAAATATAAGATATGACATCTTTATGTCCTTCTTTCAGCCTTTATTGATGCAAGTTAGGTTGTTTTACAATGGTTGTGCTGTTAAGGGAACTCTTCTCGTAAATAAGAAGGCACGTTCTTACTTTATTCACTTATGATTTCTTCTTGAATTCATGATTGGAAAACATCAGTTAGGAAATATGATTTTACTGTACGGAATTTTACAGATAATTCCTATTTAACATATTTATCATGCTGCGGAACAAATACTACAAGACCATATATTAACTTACATAGTCTAGATTAGCTTAGATTCATATTCGTACCCTTGTAGTGTTCAATGTAGCTGGCCAAATAAGATTCAAACATCGCTATCACTGACAGTCCAGTCTATTCCAGTGCTATTACGCCTTGATCACCACTAGAAAATCTGGCATGGTAGGAAAGGCATCTGAAAAAACACTAAAAAGTAAAAATGGAAAAATAAGATTTTTCTGTTTACCATTTCTTAATTTTTTTTGTTATAGAGGTTGTGGGATTAAGAAAATCGGCATATTTTTTTGTACTTTATTCATAAAAAATCTCACACCAAAAATATATTATTGCCTCAAGATATTTTTGTGTCTAATAAAAACTAGTGGCTTGATTGTATAAATATTTTTATGGATGACTCGGAGGCCACCCGTCCTTCTATTATATTTTGTTAGCTTGTTCTTAATGAGATCAATGGTTCAAATTCTGGGAGACGCAATAGAATTTGTGAAGGGTAAAAGAAACACATTCTCTCTGAAATAGATATTACATATGATTAATGGCTCGGGCACAAGACAAGATCATTACAATTAGACTCTCCACTTATAGCCCTTGTATGGTGTATCTAAAAACCAGTTTTTTAGTAGAAAAGTTGATCAAATCTGTGGTTGAAAATTTTGGATCCCATTAAATGTGTGATTAAAATTAATTGTTGACTTTGACTTAGATTTTTATGGAGATTTTAAGCTATACCAAACAAGGGCATCGTCTCATTTGGACTCTTAAATGTCGTGCAAATTAAAATTGTCAGAGAGCACGAGGGAGAAAAGATATATACATTTTTCCCTCGATGATGTAACACATAGGTTCCGAATACTTAAATCACAAGTATCCTTATATTAACTATAACATAACTATAACATCAATGTAAAGCGTCTTCTATTGACTTGGTAATAAAAATCAACTCCACAAATCCATGCCACAAATTCATGTGTATTTACTGGTTTAATATTTATATTGTAATAATAAATTCAAGTATGAGTTGATTTACTATTTTTTGTTACATTACCTATCACTTTATTGTTTCGTCATGCAATAGTAATAGCAGTTCGAGTTAAATGAGTTTTGGTATTGTTTCTTACGAAGTGACTTCAATTTTTTGTGGTGAGTTGTAAGTTCACTTTCTTGCTCTTCTAACATTTTTAATAATCAATTACTGCAGCTTCAACGAGGAAAAATTCAGATAAGACCTTCAATGATAAAGGTTGAGACAGACCTAAAATTGCCGGTTGGACAAACGTTTAATTCGCTGGAGATAGTTGCTGTTAGGTATCTCACTCATTAACTTTTTTTAGTTCTTGTAATCGGTCCTGATATTGTGAGAATGGCTTTTTCTGGCTCACTGATTTAGCTTTGTAATTTTCAATTAGCATACTGTTGCAGGCGCTTGTTTTACTCATCAAGAATCTTGTCATCATCTCATGTCGTTAGAACATTGAAAGATTATTTATCTTTATATATATTTCCGAGGGGATATACCATAAGTTAAAATTCTGTTGAAGCACTGGAATGATTTTTTAGGTTAATTAGAACCAAGATAAAATCCAGAAAATGTTCTAATTTATATTTTATTTGTAATCTTGATAAGTTGTTTAGAATGTGAATATCTGTAAGTCCCTGAGTTGTTTTAAAGAAAAAATCAGAGCCCTGTCAATCAGTCAAGTTGGATATTTTCTGACTCTTTGATGTTCACCTTCCAGTCACAAACCTGGAAGAACCTTCTTGTCAAGATACTTGATTGCTCTTTTGACCTATGGTGGTGTTCCCGGAAACTTCTTCCTAAAATTAGTGACAAATTATTTGGAAGAGGCTCAAAATGTATACTCCAATAGTATCGCAGCTTTGAGAGGTAATTCCTGAACTAACATTTGCTAGCTTATATTGTTCTAATTTTCGAACGTAATCATCCCTCCTCTGCATGTAATAATACCAGTTTAATGATTTTCTAAATTTTAGTATTCCGAGTGTTTTCTTGACTATACATGTATGTAGCGCAACAGTGATCGTGAATTTGATTTCTATATACTTCATCATCTCTCCGTAGCTTTTTCAACCTTAAAATTACTACAACTACACAGTAAATGTATGGTTATTTTATTTAATTATGTTTTATATAACATGTGTTTTGTTGTAGTTGCCTCGAACCATGAAGGGATGGATGAAGGTTTTATGGCCCAAAGAATGCTATCATCTGGGATTCCTCTCTATGAGCCATATCTCCAACAATGTTTGTCAAGACTGGTAAAGGACGACAAGGCAAAGCTTAAAACAGGGAGGATACCAATCAGTGAAAGCTTTTACGTGATGGGCACTGCTGACCCTACGGGAAGATTGAACAATGACCAAGTCTGTGTTATCCTGTATGTATATAGATTACACTTCTGAGAAGGGAATTCTTCTATGTGATTTTGCAGTTCTGTCTTTGAAAATGAAAAAGAGTCTAGAATTTCATCCTTTACCTTCTATGACCGTCATGACTTCCTTTTGTGACTACTGCGTTTTCCAACGTTGATGTGCAAAGATAGACTTCCACAATCCTCTGCATATTCCTGTTAGCCAACTCAAACGATAACTACTTATTTGATTTGTGAACGTCCAAATTAATCACTTTTATAATTAAAAATTCATAAATAGAAAATATCTTGA